AGGATCGTTTCTATTTAGAGGCTTAAATTTGAGGCAGGTCTCACAGCTGTATTGCGGTCTACTTTCCCCCAGCTATCCGGAATAATCTGCAACTTGGGATTTTCTCTTGTCTATCTACCAGTCCACCTGTTTCTCCTTAACTTTTGAACCCGGACAAGCCCAAAGCCCACTTTGTGGCGTCTGCCTTAGCTTTAACTTTGGGAGAGTGCCATGTCTTGAAAGATCCAAGAAGCTTTTCTTTGTGTTGCGGCCTGTCGGCAGACAGCCCCTCCAAATCAGATGAGGAGGCGGCTTGAGAGTCAGTCAGCATCAAGGCAGTCTGGGAGCTCTGAGGGGGAAGAGGGAATGGAGCTGGCAGAGAGGCAGGCGGAGCCTGGGCCGTCCATCAGATGGAGAGTTGACAGCCCCCAGGTCTGGAGTGGCTGATAAGGAAAAGGAGGAACTGCTGAGTGCAGTGCCTGAGGCACAGAAAGCAGAGGAGAGGAGAGCAATGGAAATCTATGGGCTGATCCTTGGGACAGAAGAGCCACTGCTGCTAGCGCCGCCCCACTCTGGCTCTGGGGATAAAAGTCAGGGGGCAGAGATGAATAGATGTGGCAGACAACTATTCATCTCCCTGCCAGACAGGGAGAGAGAGGAGAGGGAGAGGTAGACTTTGCTGAGGTTGCTGGCGCTCCTAATAAAGGGAACATTTATTTAACTACCGAGGGTTTGTCGCACTTGGGAGCTTGGTCAGAACACTTTTATTCTGCCTTCTGAAGGCCAAAACATCCAAACGTTTTGTGAATTTCAGTAAAAGGTAGTGCCAGCTGATACCTCATGTTGTTCCCTTACATTACACGTTCCTGCCCGAAATCAGCCTTTCAGAATTATCCTTCGTGGAACATAGAAAGCAGGCAGAAGTTTCCCAGCCAATAATCTCTCTGTGCTTTAGGTGTGTATGGGGAGAAGCCAGGAGTTGCTCCCTTTAGTTTGACGTGCACTGGAGGAATGTTCTTTTCTTCTTAGTGATGAGGAGCAGAGATACAGGTACAGAGAATACGCAGAGAGAGGCTACGAACGACATAGGACAAGTCGAGAGAAAGAAGAGCGGCACCGAGAAAGGAGACACCGCGAGAAAGAAGAGACGAGACACAAATCGTCACGGAGGTCAGTTCCTTGCTATGCTAAGCTCTCAAATGGTGGTTTTATGGGTGGTGCTTAAAATAAAAATGTTGGCTATCCGGCAATAGCCTCCCTCCCTCTCCTCCTTTTTATTTCCTAGTGAAAATGAAGCCCAAAGTTAGTAAATTGGGTTTTTTTTCCCCCCCTAATCAAAGAGATCTGAACGTAGGTCCGTGGTGGCGAACCTATGGCACACGTGCCAGAGGTAGCACGCAGAGCCTTCTCTCTGGGCATGTGAGCCGTTGCCCCAGCTCAGCTCCGCCACACATGTGCATGCGTGCCTCCCACCGGCCAACTGATCGTTGGGTCTCTGCCACAGCTGCGCGGGGAGCAGGGGGCATACGTTCAGGGGGAGCCACACGTATTGCATTTTGGGGATGCGTGCATGCTTTGGGCACTTAGTGCCAAAAAGGTTAGCCATCACTGCCGTAGGTGATAAAATCAGAATCCTTTTTGTAGTTTGAACATGGGAACTTCGTAATGAAAGGTTCCGTTCATTTGTCTCGGTGGGCTGCTTAGAGCAGGCAAGATCTTAGATGAGGGAATAGAAGGGGAACTTACCCAATTTGCAGATGATACTAAGCTGGCAGGAATAGCCAACACCCAAGAAGATAGGCTCAAGATCCAGATGGATCCTGACAGACTAGAACACTGGGCCGTATCTAACAAAATGAAATTCAGTGTAGAGAAAAGTAAAGTTCTACACTTGGGCAAGAAAAACCAAAAGGACACGTACAGACTGGGTGAAACCAGACCTCTGAATAGCGGTAACTGTGAGAGGGATCTTGGAGTCTTAGTGGACAACCAGCTAAATATGAGCCAACAGTATGCAGCAGCAGCCAAAAAAGCTAATGCAATCCTAAGTTGCATTATCAGAGGGATACAATCAAGATCAAGGGAGGTACTAATACCACTCTATAAAGCCTCAGTAAGACCACACCTAGACTACTGCATCCAGTTCTGGTCACCACACTAAAAAAGATGTTGAGACTCTGGAAAAAGTACAGAGAAGAGCAACCAGGAAGATTAGGGGACTGGAGACTAAAACATAGGAATAATGGTTGCAGGATCTGGGCTTGGCTAGTCTAGTGAAGAGAAGGATCAGGGGAGACATCATAGCAGTCTTCCAATATTTGAGGGGCTGCCACAGAGAGGAGGTGGGCTCAAGCTATTTTCTAAAGCACCTGAAGACCAGACAAGGAAAAATGGTTGGAAACTGAACAAGGAGAGATTTAACCTGGAAATAAGGAGAAATTTTCTGACAGAACGATCAATCACTTGAGACTTTCAAGAAGAGATTGAACTGCCATCTGTCAGAAATGGTGTAGAGTCTCCCACTTGGGGTGGGTGGGGGGGTGGACTAGATGACCTATAAGGTCCCTTCCAACTCTGATTATCTGTTATCTGATCCCTGGGCAGTGGTGGGACCCACTGTCCCTGGGGGAGAGGGAGTGTTTGGCTGCTCTTTGCAGCAGCGTCCATTTGTGGTTCATTTCAAAATCAGGCCCCAATCCCTTTACCTTGTCTCTGAGGAGAGACTGACCAAGAGAGCAGCTGTCTTCTTCGTGCCCTTCGCTTATTTGCCAAGTGAAAGATTTCCACTTGCTTTCCTCCCTTTGCTAATACAGGTAGTTCTCGACCTACCACCACAATTGAGCCCCAACCTTTCTGTTGCTAAGCGAGACATTTGTTGAAAATCCTCACTGGATTAATCAACATGTTTTGTGGCCCTGTTGTGTATGTGAAAGTGAGTCTAGGGAATCCTCCAGTTACGACCACAACCGAGCCCAAAATGTATGTTGCTAACTGCAACATTTGTTACGTGAGTTTTACAACCTTTCTTGCCACGTTTGTTAAGTGAATCACTGCAACTGTTAAAGTTAGCAACCCGGTTGTTAAGTGAATCTGCCCTTCCCCATTGACTTTGCTTGAATGTCCCAAAAGGGGATCCCATGACCCTGGGACACTGCAACCGTCATAAGTATGAGTCAATTGCCAAACATCCAAATTTTGATCACATAACTATCAGGATGCTGCAACGGTCATAAGTCTGAAAAATGGTCATAAGTCACTTTTTTCACTGTTGTTGCAACTTTGAATGGTCGCTAAATAGACTTGTGAATTGAGGACTATAGCAGTGGTGGCTAACCTTTTTGGACTCCTGTGCCAAAAATTGTGCGCGCGCTTGCACTCGCGTGCCAGCACCCAGAAGGCAATGCACGCCCCCCCATGCCCTCTACACATGCGTGCGCAATCCCACCCATCCCCTGCCACCCCCCTACCTGCACTGTGCCTCACAGCTGATTTTTGGCTGGTTTGAGGCCTTTTTAGGCCTCCCAAAGACTTGAGGAAGGCTACTGCAGGCTTTGCAGGCCGAAAACTAGGCCCGTTTTGTCACTTCCGGTATTTTCTGAAAAACAGGAAATGGCGAAACAGGCCTAGTTTTTGGCCTGCAAAGCCTGCAGTAGCCTTCCTCAAGCCTTTAGGAGGCTGAAAAAGGCCTCAAACCGGCCAAAAATCAGCTGTGAGGCGTGCACATGCCCAGTGAGCTAAGTTTGCCTGCAGCTCGTGTGCCGGCACAAATGGCTCTGCGTGCCACCTGTGCATAAGTTTGCCATCACAGATCTGTAATTTATAACCAAAAATGAAAAATAAAAATCCTAAGGATTTCTCAGGAATATGACTGGATGACATGATTTTAGGCCTACTATCTTTATGAACGGAAATCCTGTGAAAGCTGCAACTTCTTTGCAGAAAAATTCTGGCCTCTTCATTGTGGGGACATGTATTTTACTTTTAAGGATAGTCATTGATACAAGTATAGTCAAAATAAACAACGGCAGATGAAAATCTCAAGAGAAGCTGAATATCAAGAGTTTTTCTTCAGACCCCTTTTCTGGTTTTGATTTAATGGTGAGGGAGGCTCATTCGATGACATCATTGCGTAGGCCAAATAATTGGTTTTATAACACGAAGAAGAGCTTGAGAAGCAGGCTGGTGGCACTCAGCCTGAGGCTCCATTAAATCTTTCTGTCCTTTTCTCCTCTCCCCTCTTTTCTCTCCCTAGCAACAGCCGGCGTCGCCACGATAGTGAAGAAGGAGAGAGCCACAGGAGGCATAAACATAAAAAGTCAAAAAAGAGCAAAGAAGGAAAAGAAATGGGTGGCGGTGAACCAGTCTCTGAGCAAGAAAACACTGAAGCTGCCCCTGCAGAATAGGCATGCGATATTGTTGCCTACTTGCTTATATTAATGCCAGAAATAGATTGCTCTAAATCTAATTATTTTTCTGGGTCTTAAGATGTTGCTCTTAATCTTGTTCTGTTAGTAGAAAAGCATACGTTTAATTTGGGTTTTTGAAAATAAAAGAGTGAATTTTTTCATGTTAAAAACAAGACTGTTTTGTCTTCTTTATGCCATTGGAACAGTGAAGACGTCACCAAAGAGTTGTGTTTGGTTACTGAAATTCCTTGCATTTAATCCAAGATTCATCGAAATGGAAAATGCAGAATTAATACAGAGGCTTCTCACATTCAAATAAATATTTCACACGTGGCCGTTCTTCCGGGCACTCAATAGATTGTTTTCTGAAGGATGAACCAGTGTTTCATTTAGTCCTTTAGAGAAGTAAATCTGTATATTTTGAAATAAAAAAGTTAGCATATCTTGGCTAGAAATCCATAATGTGTCAATAGTACCCAGGTGTAATATCTCCTGTATTTGAGCATATGGGCCTTTTTGTTGGTGGTTCAGCCTAGATTTCTATAAAGCAGTTTCTGGTTTTATTCTTTACTTACACTGCTCCTTACTATCGCCATTATTAGGATGCTGGTTTAGAAGAGCCCAACCCAGAATGGAAGGATAAAAACCGAGTAAAACAATGAAATGGTTTGATTTCATGAATCAGAAAGTTTCATGCAAAATTGAGTATTTTTGTCCTTTTTAAAATTAAATTAATCTGGCTTTACAAATTACAATTAATTAAATAGTAGAAATAAAACACAATTATAATATATTAGAAAAAAAAATATCTTAAAAAAAGACTGCTTTTACTGAGCACAAAAAGGAAAATTAATAGATTCATCAGCCAGCCTTCTAACATCTTTCATAGATGCTGTCAGGATAATCATTAGAAAAGCATTTTATTATTTCGATGTTTCTGAAATCACTTTCAAATTAGGTAAAGTTGTTTCCTTCTTTATCTAAAGAGCAGGTGAAACATAGATATATACCTATCTATGTTGTGTGCTTTGATTTACACCAGTAGCTTTCCATAGTTTTAAGAGGACATGAGTTTTTTTACCCCCCACAAACAAGTACTATGGAGCATTTTAAGACTCTTCTACTTATATAATGCACATTTACACTTTGATACAAAAAAAAAGTACATAGGAATCCGTTTGTTTCCAGTTGAAACACATCTTTATAAAAAGGTGCCGGGCCAGGATACAATAGTGAGAGTAAGTTTCCCCTTCAGTTCTTTTAGCATCCTTGCCAAAGAGGCATGCGCCATTCCTGAGATATTCCTGCCGTTCACTGCAAGGAGCATGTCACCGCACCTGGAATGGGAGGAACAAATAAAACTTAAGTTAGGCTCATCCGCAATTCCAAGACAGTTTTCCTTTATTTTGCAAATGTCTATGGAGCTTCTCAGCGATGGTTGATTTTTGGGCTTCCTGGTTTTTCTTTGAGAGCTGAAGAACGCTTGGATGAGAAGCAAGACGTATTCTTTTTTGTTTTTCATTTTTTTTAACAAACCAATACAAACACAAAACAACAAAACCTCTCAATTGTACAGTGTGTCAGTTGGTACATATTTCTTGTGCACATTATCAATAGTCTTTCCCTCTTAAATGTAAATTTATATTAATATTCAACTTTCCATGTCATATTACCATTAAATTCACATTATACTTTCAAGCCCACTTCAATTTTTACAATTTCAAGTTCATATTATAATTTCTTCTATAATAATTGTATCATTACTATTGTATTATATTTACTGTTGTATTATATTTATATTAATATATTTCATTTTCCCATCTAACCAGCAAAATGTCTTCAAAGAAAAAATGGAAAGTCTAGTTGACTCTTGCAAAAAGCACCTTTGGGGTGATTATATTGCAAATCTCTGGTGTTTGGAATTGCCAAAGTTCTCATGTTTATTAAGGAGCTTTCCTAAGAGTATTTAATCAAACCAGATCACCTCAGATTCACGTCACAAAACCCAACTTAAGAATCACTTCAGATGTTTTTTTATTGCATGGTATAAAATTGAACCTATTTTGATGCATAATCTTATTCTTTGGAGAGTGTGGTCAGTCACTTTCATATAATTGGAAGCACTTGTGGCCATATGATATTTTGCTCTTTGAGGATGATATTAAGATTGCTTGGCCTACTTCACCCAAGTGAGGTCAATTGTGAAGATATGCCTGGACTATGTGCAAAATTAGGTCACACGTTTATTTCATTTATAAACTGCTACACCTTAAGATTCTTGGCAGTTCACAACAATTATAGAACAACCTGTCCGACAGCAAGGTAAAGTTTGTATCAAAATTGCATAATGCACTTCGGACCATATCACAGTTCTCATTGCTTAACTTGGCTTTTGGATGACCTTTCTTGCCACAGTCGTTAAGTGAATCATTGGAGCTGTTAAATTAGTAATATAGTTGTAAAGTGAGTCTTGACTTTTTGTGATGACTCGGAGTGTAACATAAACGTAACAAAATCCAAAATGTAAATAGATGTCCTTTAATGCCTCCAACTTGGCCCCACTGTTCAATAATTCTCAGTTGGAGATAAAACTTTCTCAAAAATAGTCTTCCAAAGAAAGCAATACAGTCCGAACTTAATGAGCAGATAGAGGTGAAATAAAAAAAAAAAAACTACAATGAAGAAATTTGCACAATGGAACAAGAGAAGTAATTACCAACTTCAAGGAGATAACAAAACACAGTCTGTTGGAAGGACGGCAATCAAGATACCTTCAGTCCAAAATAACACACGCTTTGCTTCCGGCAACGCTGTGTTTTAACCATCTCTCTTATATACTATTCTCCCCAGCTGCAACCAATGAGGGGGATCATGGCCGCTTCCTCTCTCATAAGCCAAGTTGTTTCCTTCTCCGTTCCTCCCTGCGTGTCCTAGGATGGCCTCTGCCCTTCCCCAGCCTCATCCAAAACCTCCGGAGCTACACCTCCACTCCCTGTCTGCTGTTTCTCCTCTCCCTCAGAATCAGACTCTACCAAGGGCGTGACACTTTGGTTGTCAAAAGTTTGCAGAAGGTGATCACATAATCCCAGTTCACTGCAACCATCATAAATATGAGTCAGTTGCCAGGTGGCCGAGTTTTGATCATGTGAGCATGGGGAAGCAGCAATGGTCGTAACTGAAAAAAATGTCGTAAGTCACTTTTTTCAATGCCATTATAACTTTGAACAGTCACTAAATGGACTGTTGTAAATCAAGGACTTTGCTCCCAGATGGCTGTATTCTCACTCTGTGCCTCATTGCCAATTGTATCAGTTGCCCGGTTTAGCACAATTATGTTTCCCAGGAAACAAAGGTTCAGGTAAACAGGATGAATTATAGTAAATTGTTATTTAAGAAATGCAATTGCTCTGTATAAAATATTAACTCCTTTTATACTAAAATCAATGTTCAATTTTCTTGTACCTATATCTGTAGCCTAGATAAAAGAAACAGCAGTGATTCTCTTTAGAGTAGAAGATGCAGTTTCCATCCATTCCTTGTTTGGAACAGAACACTAAACATTTGCAAAGATAAGTGGTATTAAGAAGAAAATAGGATCCTTATTCAGATTCATTTTAGATTGTGTGAGAACAATTACTTTTATAATCAAAGAAGAAAGCAGTTGGCATAGGTAGCTTTACATCAGATCACAAATTTTGCAATGAATCAAACAAGTTCATAGACTAGTCCCATGATGGCGAACCTATGGCACGCATGCCAGAAGTGCCATGCAGAGCCCTCTTCACTGGCACGCGAGCTGTTGCCCCGGAACAGGTCCACTGCGCATGCGTGCCCGCCACCCACCCACCAGCTGATTGTCGGGTAGCTGCTGTGCATGTGTGGGGTGCGTGGGCCGTGGGAGACATACGTGCATGCATAGTAAGCGCAAGGCGTGCAGACGGGGTCACGTGCAGGGGTGGGATTCAAATTTTTTAACAACTGGTTCTGTGGGCATGGCTTAGGTAGTGGGCGTGGCTTGGTGGTCATGTGACTGGGTAGACATGGCTTGGTGGTCATGTTATTGGCTGGGCGTGGCCAACTTAACAGCACTCACATTGAGGCACGCATCTCCTTGCCTGGCCTCTCATGACTGTGGGGATGCTGCAACAGTCATAAGTGTGAAAAACGGTCATAAGTCACTTTTTTCAGTGCCATTGTAACTTTAAATGGTCACTCCATTTAAAGTACCAGCAAAGGAGGGGAAAAAAACTCCAGAGACGTTCCTGAGACTGGAAGTTTAGTCCTGCCAAGAATGTAATAAGGGTTAATGGAGAGGCAGCTTCTGTAAGCAACACCAGAATGTTTCCTTCCTGCCTTCCTTACAGGATTAGGCCAGTAATTTCTTCTAACAACCGGTTCTCCGAACTGCTTAGAATGTTTACAACCGGTTCTAGCGAATAGGTGAGAACCGGTAGAATTCCACCCCAGTCACGCACATGCACAGAAATGCACGGTGCACGTGGGGGGTTGTACACGCATGCCCAGGGGGCGTGGGACTCCCCATGTGCATTATGGGTGTTGGCACGCGTGTGTGCACCCGCACTTTTGACACACAAGGATGGAAAGGTTAGCCATCACTAGTTCCTTCTTAGAAATGGTTCGGATATGAAGGGAAGGATCCTTGGAAAACAATAGGGCCTAGATCCAGTCCTTATAATCCACAAGTAAAAATGGGGAACATTTTGTTAACAATCCTGGAAAAAAGGATTTTCAACATAGACAGTATGGAGCAAGATGCTTCATGGGTCTCATTCGATCAAAGACAACCTCAGTTGTAAGACAATTTGCCTTTAAGCAGTATGTTTTTATTACCTGATTCTTCCATCATTATATGCTGGAGTCCCTTCCACAATGGATTTGATAAAAAACGGCTTGTTTCCACTGTTTTCTTCATAGCCTCCCACTATACTGAAGCCAAGGCTTCCTGCTGTATTTCTTCGCAACACAATTTCTTTGCAGCTGTACAAAGACCTACAAGAAAGCATTCCATTTAAGTCATATTTCTTACCTTAAAGTTATAAATGTTCATTACTTGCATTCTTCTTATTTTACTCCTTAGCCATAGCAGACTTCAAATTATCCACCTGGATGCCATTCAGATTACGATAAAGTTTAGTAGAGCTGTTTATAGCTTCACGGGTAATCCTCGATTTAATGACAGTTAACGGATCCTGGAATTTCTGTTGTATGTTATGATGGTTGTAAGATGCAGCATCCAAGTGACTGACCCATTTCCAGGGGATGGGATTCTACCGGTTCACACCGGTTCTATAGAACCGGTTGTTATGATTCTGTGCAGTTTGGAGAACTGGCAAATGGTGCCCCTTGCTGGCCCCACCCCTCTCTACCTGCCCATCCCCTCCCCACCAGTCAGACCTTATCGTGCATGTGCGACATCGCTAACTGCGTCCTCCCCCACCCAGTCACTCCTTTCCCCCTCCCGACGATCAGCTCTTCTGATGATCAGCTGTGTGGGACCCCCCTCACTGTCTTATTGCTTCACCCAGGCGGCTTCCTTGAGGCCCAGGATGCCAAAATAATGGAGGGGAGGATGCGGCAAAAAAAGAAGAAGCCACGCCCACCCAGTCACATGGCCATGCCCATCTAGCCACACCCACGGAACCAGTTGTTAAAAAAATTGAATCCCACCCCTGCCCATTTTTTGTGGCAGTCATTAAGTGAACCCAATCCCTGCAATAGGCTCTTTTTGCCAGAAACTGGAAGTAAACACCAGTTTCCAGCAAAAATTAAAAAAAAGTTGCAGTCACAGGACTGCAGGATGCTGCAAACAGCCGTAAATATGGGCCGTTTGCTGAATGTTCAAAATGTAACCACCTCAGCGCAAGGGGATCCAGCTCTCAGAGCTTCGTATCCAGGTCATAAATATCTTTGGGGCAAGGGGGGAAATGTTTGTAATTTCAAAGGGTCACTAAGCAACCAAATACAAACCAAAGATTACCTGTAATTCAGGATTCTGTGTACGCAAAAGCTTGCAGTGTTGCATTATCAACCTAGCTGATCAACCGTCCTGGTTGCAATTTCTATTTTTATCTTTTTAAAGCAACAAGACTCAGAGCTTTGTCTTTAAATTGAAATAATTTAAAAATGAAAACACTGTTGTTGTTGTTTTAGACAACAGATTTTTGCTCTGTTCTTCTGCAGGATTTTTGTACTGTAGATTAGGCCCTTGAGAAGAACAAATATGCACCTGCTGGCAGAATATAAGTGTATAATGTTTGTATAATAGCTAGCTGGCTTCTAATGTGAAAAGCAGGTGCCTGTTGGCTCTTGTTTTGCATGGCTCTCATTTTATTCGTTTACCATCTTTGTGGGGTTTTCAGCATTGTGAATTCCACTTTTCATACAGTCGTGTATGCACCAGATTTACCAGAGTCGTGATCCAATGTTGTCAGGATTTCACTATTATTGATAGCTATTATTGGAAGTAGGAGGTCACAAGGTTGTGTCTCATCACGAGAGATGTCCTGACTTCCAGCAGTTTATTGTATTTTCTAAACAATCGTTATAATTTATTAAAAATTGGAGAGAGAGAGACAATCCTAACCATTTTACAAAGATACTAAATGGGTCTTTGGAGTGTTGGGACTTTTGAGTATGGGGCAGTGGTGGGATTCAAATAATTTAACCACCAGTTCTCTGTCCTGATGACCAGCTGGGTGGTTGTGGCCTATGGTGGGCGTGGCCAGGGGTGTGACAGGCAGCACTCGGCCTCCTGCACCCCCCCGGGAGCAAAAACGGGCCATGGGGAGCTGCGCCACCCCCCATGCCCCTTTTTGGGCCTAGTAGGGCTCCCTGCAGCCCCCGGAGAGCAAAAACAGGCCGTGCGGAGCCACGTCGCACTCCCCACGCCCCGTTTTGGGCCAAGTAGGCATCCCTGCTCTTACCTGGGAGCCAAAACGGGGCACGTTGGGACTCCTGGAAGGGGCAGTGTGGGGCGGGGAGGGGCCAGCCAGAAATTTAACAACCGGTTTCACCGAAGTGGTATGAACCGGTTGAATCCCACCACTGGTATGGGGGCTTCATCTTAAAGAGTGAGGAGAAGAAACAACTGCATTTATTAGCCTGGTATGTCACCAGATTATTCCAGACTCCTGGCTTACAACAGGAAGACAGAAAAAAATAAAAAATAAAACTCGACAATAAAATGTAAACAACACAAAGCCATTAAATGCACCCACCCTTCATTTCTAAATGTCCTCTGAATAATTCATTTTTAACCAACTTTGAAAAGGTAACAAAGCAGACAAATGTTGCCTGCAGCCCTCTCCCATGTCACAAAAAAGGAAGCATTTGTGTGTGTGTGTGTGAGAGAGAGAGAGAGGGAGAGAGGGAGGGAGTATGTAACTGCTATATTCTCTAGGAATTAAGTGAAGAGAAAAATCGATAGGATTGTGACTCACTTCCATTTTGACCCCAGAGTAATGAAAAGTGCACAAAACACCACGGCCCTGTCTCTCTGAAAACTTAAGACATCCCAGGCAAGTTGGAATGAATCACAGCAGTGACACACCCAAAGCTCCTGTCCATATGTTTTGGAGATGGCAAAAGGTCTAGCTCTTTTAATGACTGGAACTTGCTTGGGCAATGCTTCTAGGCCTCCAAGGCTTCAAAGCGGAAGGCTAAACCATTCAGTTGAGATGGAATGTCTCGTTTGGTCTTTAGTGAGTCATTGTTTAGATGTTTTTGTGGGGTGTTGCATAAGTGAAGCACTCCATGTTCTCCGTCTAGCACGGATAAAATAAAGGCTGCCACAGAACATTCTTGACCATGCCGGAGATAGTATTTTGCTTCACGGAGTCCTGGGCGGTAGAAATAGGTTGAGCAGAGAAAAGAATCAGAAGGTTGCAAAAAAGGGGATTATATGATCCTGGGACACCGCAACCATTATAAATATGAGTAACTTGCTAAGTGGCTGGATTTTGATCATGTGACCATGGGGATGCTGCTATGGTTGTAACTGTGGGGGAAATGGTCATAAATCACTTTTTTCACAGCTGCTGTAACTTTGAACAGTCATTAAACAAACTATTGTAAGTGGAGAACTACCTGTATTGCAAATCTTTCTCTTTTTTTTTGTATTGATTTGCAAAGTGCCCTTGTCTTTGAAGGTGCTTTTGGAAGGACAATTAACCCATGTTAAATAATTCACAAAAGATTTCCAGCCTGAAATACGCAGTAAATAAGATCCTTATTTCTCCCAAGACAGTTTCAATAACAAAAGAAGAAGAAAAAAAGAAAATATCCTTAAGGCCTATTTAACCTCTCTTCAGCTTTGGCTGTATGGTCAGTTGCCCTTCCGAGACCAGAATGGGAACTCTGCTCCTAAGAGGTTACATTCTTAGACAAAGGGGAAATGAGTTAATGTGTATTAATGTGATGCATATTCTGGCGAAAAGACCTGCTTAAAGGGCTTCCAGATGTGGCGTGCAAAACTCAGAAAAGCAAGAACAGAAAAAATAAGGCCGTTAGCACAACTCACAGGGCAAGATTGAAGAATGTGACAATCTGTTTTGTCAAGCAAGTAAATCCAAATACTGAATTCTGAGTGCCTAGTCAAATAAGCAAGGACTAATAAGAAATACACCTCTGTTCCTGTCAATGATAATCAGCTTTTGCCTCTTTCCTCTTTAATCTGAATTTTGGAAGACCAACACACTAGCGCAGCATACTAATTCCCCTTGGTTTTCATATACTCTGTGGTTCCTTTCTCTGAGTGGTGCTGCAGCTGGAGATATGATTACAATGAATTTCCTGTTTCCAAACCTGCTGACTTGGTGGGTAATTTTCCTTCAGTAAAAGAGGGCATAGAGAGAGGGGAAGGATGGACAAACCAGTACATGTATAGTTTGGCATGGGAAGAAGGAGCCCCAGTAAAAATTGTGGCTGGTGTTAATAAAGCAAAATCTTTCTTTGAGGATACGGGAATTAAAGCGCCCACCAACACACACCCCTTTCCAAAACTCTGTGCAAAATAATAAGTTGCCCTCTTTTGAACAATTCCCTCCGTGATACTCCAGATAAGACAGGAATAATGAAAGCGATTTCGCCATGCTTTTGCTAAACATCATGCCACTGTTAAAACTATCCAGAAAGCAATAAGGTCATGTTATTTCTTTATTATAAAATGAAGATAATGTTGAGCATTACCACATTTCCTGTCTGTATGCTAAGGACCTTTGTGTTTACAATTTTAAGCCAGCATTTAAACTATTTAATCTGATCCTGGCTAAGCTTGGGTGTCCCCCATTGGTGGGAATTCTTTTTTTTTTTTACTACCGGTTCTGAGGGTGTGGCTTGGTAGGTGTGGCATGGCTTGGTGGGCGTGGCAGGGGAAGGATACTACAAAATCTCCATTCTCTCCCCACCCCACTAACCTGCTTTCCAGCTCCGTTTTCCTGTGCAGGAGAACTTAAGAATTCACTTTTATTTACAGTACTCACTTCTCCTTAAATTGAGGCTTCTTTCTTTCCTCAGTTCTACCCAGTCCCATTTTAATTCTCAGTGCTGGTGTAAACCTCTCACTTATAAGCCAGTAGTTTAATTAGGGAAAATGAATAAGGTAAATTCTATCCATAGTTCAGGCTGATACTTGATGGGCTTCATAAAGTAGCATGGAATGTCGAAGGAATCCCTGTGGATTTTAATCCATTAATCCTAGCCGACTATATGCAGAACTGTAAAACTCTTAACAATTCTTATCTATAAATGCGAGGGAATCCTGATATCAGTCTAGGGGCATTATTATGTCACTGGAGGCCTACTTCAAGGTATCTTCATCATTTAATCACAATATATATATATTGCAACAACTTCACAACCATATTTTCAAATGTTCTCTATCAACTGGTTAGCTATTAAGCTAGCACCCACCCCTCTCCTAGAAAATTGAAATATCCTGGGAAATATTAAAAAGGCAGAATATTTCCCCTAAAAAAGAGTAGAAACTCAGAAGCAGAAACTCACCAGAGGGGCAGAAACTCACTCCCCTCCTCATCTTTGCTAATGGGCCATTAAGTCCTAGGCCAGAGAATTCTACATAACAAAGGCCTCTACCCATCTCACCACCTCGGTTGGGAAGATTGTATCAACCAACACTCAGGTGAAGCCATGTGGTGCAGACAAAGCCCACAAAGTTAGTTAAGACCCCTGCCCCTGGGAGTCTGACAGCCAATGGGATACATTTCTTGCACAGGAACAGGAAACACTAAGGTGGGGCCCAACAGAGGGTATATAAGGGTCTCTTCACCTTGTAGCATGTGATCATCCTTTTCACTTTGGAGCTCCAAGCCATGTGGTCCTATCCACCATTAAACCATCTTTCCAAACAGCCTCCATGTTTCCAGTGACTTTTCCCCCACTTGGAAACTGAATCCAGAAGGATAATTCTTCCAACAGAACTTTACATAATATATGCCACAGAATCATAGGATGGCTTTGAAGCAATGGGGAGTAAAACGTCATTGCAAAATACAAGGAAAGCTTACTAGATTTCATTTTGAAGAGACAGACCTTTGCTGAATCAGATCAAGATCTAGTTTAATGAAAAGAAAGACATCGTAGCAGTGTTCCAGTATCTTAGAGGCTGCCACAAAGAAGAGGGAGTCAAAGTTATTCTCCAAAGCATCTGAAGGCAGGACAATAGTAGAATAGAGTAGAGTAGAATAGAATAACAGAGTTGGAAGGGACCTTGGAGGTCTTCTAGTCCAACCCCCTGCTTAGCAGGAAACCTTATACCATTTCAAATAAATGGTTATCTAATCTCTTTTTAAAAACTTCAGTGGATGAAATCCCAAAGGTGCTTTTTCCAGAGGCAACTAAATTTTCTGGTTTCTCTTTGAAGGCATTTTGCTTCTCATCCAGGAAGCTTCTTCAGCTGAAGAAGTTCAGGGAAAAAGCACCTTTTGGACAATTACGATTTACATGTCTGAGAATCTCCATAGACAATGGTTGGAAACCACTTCCCAGGAGAGAAGTGACCTAGGAGAAATTCCCTGACAATTAGAATAATTAATCAATGGAACAACTTGTCTCCAGAAGTTGTGGATGATCCAACAAAGTTTGAAAGAAGAGATTGGACAACTATTTGTCTGAAATGGTATAGGGCCGTGATGGCGAACCTATGGCATGCATGCCACACGTGGCACGCAGAGCCATTTGTACCGGAACGTGAGCTGCAGGCAAACTTACCTCACTGCGCATGCGCGCACCTCACAGCTGATTTTTCGGCTGGTTTGAGGCCTTTTTCGGCCTCCCAGAGGCTTGAAAAAAGCCTTTGCAAGGCTTTTCAGGACGAATAATAGGCCTGTTTTGTCACTTACTGTAATACCGGAAAAAATCAGCTGTGAGGCGCAGTGCAGGTAAGGGGATGGCATGGGGGGGGGGGGAAGGATTGTGCGCACAGGCGTAGGGGGCTGGGGGGCGCACTTTGCCTTCTGGGTACTAGCACATGAGCGCATGTGCGCGCATGCACGTGTAATTTTTAGCACAGGAGCCCCAAAAGGTTAGCCACCTTCCAACTTTGTTATTCTGTTATTAAGAGTTGATCTATGTTGGAGGTTTTTTTGCCCTTTGTACAAACCCCAAAACAACACAAGTGCTACTCAATCCTTCTATTTCATCCTCTGGAACAGGGATTAAAATATATACGTACAATGTGAGAAACAATTTACAGGTATCATACTGCTATAGGTAAAGACATTGACAACTTTATTCTCCATGAGCTTCCTTGTACTCCTTTAAAACAAATTAGGTTCCCTGAGGTGAATTAGAGGTTCATCTAGGTAGGAGACACCAACCAAACCTTGTAACTTCTCATAAAGAACAGTTTTTCTTTAAAAAAAATATCTGCCTATTTGCCAATTCTGATGCTTTTAGAGGAATACTTGAAATATATCTGAGGAAATTCAATGTTCCCCCCCCCCAAATGGCTTAAAAATAACCCTTGCACGCATGTAACTGAAACAAAAACCACAAACGCTTGCTTTCCAGTATAATCTTATACATTTAGATAGATATGAACCAGACTGAATAAAACAAAAGATTTGTGGGGCAAATCTGTGAAGAGACTCTTGTGTAATTGATTTGCCTTATTTTATGGGCTGCTGAAGTTCAGCTTGAGGGTAAATTTAATCGTGTGTCATCCTGGCAGTACCTCATTTAAAAAAAAAAAAATCAGGTTGATACAAATGTTGTAATGAAGTATAAATTATATCCCAAGAAGACATGGAAATGCATTTTGTGAGTGAGTAACAAGCTATGTACTTCGTGATTTCGTTTTATTTGGAGTTTTTTTTTCCTTTTCCTTTTTTTCATACAAAAATATAACACAGCTGCTTCTAGCCTATTAGAACAATTTTTAAGGCTGGCTGAGAGTGAACGGTAAAGCGGTTTTGGAAATTTCACCACTGCTGTGCCCAGAGTTTTTGAACATCTGGGCAAAGACAAACAGTTTAATACAACCTAGAACTAACATATGGTGTCTGTGAAATCCGCAAGCTGTATGGATGTTGTGCAAAGACACAGGGTGGCCCAATCCTAAAGATGGTTATCCATGCCAGACTGTACAGGGAGTTCCTGACTTACAACAGTTCATTTAGTGACCGTTTCAAGTTACAAAGGCACTGAAAAAAGTGATTTATGACTGTTTTCCACACCAACATCGTGGAAAATGTGGTCAAAATCCACATGTTTAGCAACTGGTTATGAAATTTTAATTCAATGTATGCCGATTAGCGTACATTGAAAGTGCCAATAAAGTTAGGGTCTTCTATTGACATTGTGGCAAGCGCGAAATTGACATATGCGTAGCCATTTTATTTAGCCTTATTATACATTCCTTTTCTTTCTTTCTCTTTGCTGGTTATGGGGAGTTTGAGGCTTGCCACATTCCTAAGGTGGGAGGAGTAGAGATACAGAGAGTTGTTTAGGCTAGGTGGTTCTTCTTTCCCGTGCGAACAAAAACTGACCCTGCTGAGACCCAGAGGTGGAGATTGATGAGACCAGGCAACATGGATTCACTTCCATTGGGGAATGTGACTTTGGGGAGTTGTTTCTAATTTCCAATATTATGTGGTGTAATTCCGGGTTGTGTCAGATCCAGAATTACAACAGACTTTGCCAATTTGATGCTTTCCTAGATAAAAGAAATAGTTTTGGAACATGGACTTTGTTCTTTTCTTTTTAAATGGATTTCAGTCACTTGGAAACCTGACATTCTGACTTTCTGGCAAGCAAAGCCAATGGGGAAGCCAGGTTCGCTTAACAACCGTGTTAGTAACTTAACAACTGCAGTGATTCACTTAACAAATGTGGCAAGACTCAAAGGTGCTTTTTTTTTTTCCAAGAAGCAACTGGAGTTTCTGGTTTTTCTTTGAAGACGTTTTGCTTCTCATCCAAGAAGCTTCTTGTCATGCCCCTGTTAGAATCTGACTCCGAGGGAGAGGAGGAACAGCTGATAGGGAGTGGGAGTGTGGCTCTGGAGGGTGTGGAGGAAGGGACAGGCCAGATGGCCTTTCAGAGGAAGACCCAGGCCCATCCCCTCTTCATCCTAGGGCACACAGGGAGGAGCGGATAAGGGAGCAACGTGAATGGTGTGGTCTATGGGAGAGGAAAGGGCCTTGATCCCTTTGATGGGCTGCAGCTGTGAGGACTGTTTAAAAGGACAAACAGCGCATGGGCCAGTGCTGAAAGCAAAGCATGAAATAATTGTAGTCTTTCAGTTCTTATCTGAGTTCTGGTGTCCTTCCCGGTGTGTGTATTTCAATATCTGTAGACGTCTTCAAGCCCTTATCCTGCCTTGTCTCCTTAATTGCTTCAGTGTGGTTTCTGTTGTTTTTTCTATTTATATGTATTTTGAGTTTGAACGGAAGTTCTTCCTTTTTCGCAACTGTTTGTGGGGGAGTTTTTTCTCCAGGCAATGATAATTGGACCTTTGAAGCCAAATTGAAGGAATTAAAGGGACTTCACCTGTTTTTGTGACTTCGTTGCTTTTGTATCCCACCCTGGGTCATCACACTTCTCCAGCTCTGACTGGATGGTGGGGAATGGAATATACCCTCTGCAGACAGCTGGTCATTTGCATTCTGTGTCTACATTTTGGACAGAGAGGACCGCTGTTTTGAAAGAGGGGTCAAAGAGGCCATCTATGTCAAAGTTACAACTCTTTCTCAACAGAGGGGGAGGGATACGACATAGTCTATGTCCAGTCTACAACACAGTCCTTTCAACAGATCCAAGAAGGCTCCACACCCATTTGTACTACTCAAGTGACCCTGGGGACTCAGAGGAACCTCCAGGTGGCCTCAACGACTCTTTACAAGAATGCAAATGACCAGCTTTCTCTTCAAGGAATATAAATCCTTCCATTCCTCACCATCGAGTCAGAGCTTCTTGGATGAGAAGTGAAATGTCTTCAAAGAAAAACCAAGAAAGTCCAGTTGCCTGATGGAAAAAAAACCACCTTTGGGACAACCATGACCTGGATGACTGAAAATCTCCATAGACAGTGGTGGCAAAAGAAGTCATAAAATGAGGGAGAATTCTCTTGACAACTGTCTCGCTTAGCGACAGAAATGTTGGGCTCCATTGTGGTCGTACGCTGAGGACTACCTGTAATGCATAATGTGTAACCTGTATAATGGCTAGGCCTATAGCTACAACAGATACAGCATGGGGAAGGCAGAAGAGCCTGGATTTAATTAAAATATATGTGCCATGCATTAAGCTGAGCAAGAGTCACGTAAGCCTCACGTAAGTCATAAAACTTTCTTGGCGTCAACTCACCTTGGTAATTCAAGCCACATCACCCAGGAAGGAGACCACTCACTCTGACTGGAGGGGTTCAAATTGGCATCGGGCAATAAGTCCCCGTTTTCTCCTTCCGTGATCTCACAGGCTTTCAGTTCTAGTGCTTTGAACACAACCGATGAGGAGACATTTTTCAGATGGGCTACCGCCTCTCCGCGACTGACACCTGTCAGATCAATTCCATTCACGCTGAGCAGGATATGTCCTAATGGACACGAAAAACAAAACAGTGGAAATGGTTTTCATTCAAAGCTATGCTCACCACTCTGAGTGGGGCCAAACTTAGGCTGTGAATAGAATAGAATAGAATAGAATAGAATAGAATAGAATAGAATAGAATAG